TCTTGGGCAGTATCGGGATCCCCTCGGGCCGTCCTGAGGCCACCTGTGGCCGCCGCGGAGCCATCTCGGCATCTCGACCGCCTTGGGGACGGAACTCCCCAGCGTGAAGATCTGTTCTGTTTTTCTCCGCGGGGATGGCACCTCTTCGAATGCGATTGCAGTTTTTAAGGAAGGGCCAGCAAGCATCGTAAGGTTCAGCACGCCACGCACCCCGGAGGCAAGCCAGAGGGATCGAGCGTGCATCCGGCCCGCCCCGCCACCGTGCCTGGCTCGGTGATCAGAGGCGAGGCCTCTTGGGGTCTCGTGGAGGCCTCTTCGAGGCTTTTTTTGCGGAGCCTCCTCGGGGCCTCTCGGGAGTCTCCGTGTGCCTCTTGGGTGCCTCTTTGGGGCCTGAAGGCGGTCTCGGTGACTATCTAGCGGTGGAGGGTCCGAACTGTCAGTCCGTGTTTCCCCTCTTCGGGCCGTCTTGGTCCAATCTTGGGGTCCTTTTGGGCCTTCTGGGGGGCCTCGGAGACCGCCGTTCTGGGACGATATTGGGGGTCTCCTGGGCCGCCTTTGGTGCTCTTCATAAGACCGAGAAGGCAAGAAGACTCACGCCATTGTAGAAACCTTCCCCAAACAGTGCTTGCACTTAGTGGTTCTTACTGGTCTTCGAAGGAACTGGGCCTGGCTGGCGGTCTGGCTGGCTTGTCGCCGCCCGTCGCCGCCCGTCGCCGCCGCCCGCTTGGGCCTGGCTGGCGGTCCGACTGGGTTGTCGCCGCTTGTTCGCGCCGCCCGCTTCGCATTGCTTTGCATGGCTTTGCATGGCTTTGCATGGCTTTGCATGGCTTTGCATGGCTTTGCATGGCTTTGCATGGCTTTGCATGGCTTTGCATGGCTTTGCATGGCTCTGCATGGCTTTGCATGGCTTTGCATGGCTTTGCATGGCTTTGCATGGCTTTGCATGGCTTTGCATTGCTTTGCATGGCTTTGAATGGCTTTGCATGGCGTTTCATTGCTGTGCATTGCGCTGCTCTGCAGTGCTTTTTATTGTTTCGCATCGCTCTTGCTTTGTATTGCTTTGCATTGCCTTGCACTTCTTTGCACCGCATTGCATTGCTTCGCATTGCATTGCTTTGCATTTCTTTGCATTGCTGCGTGGCTTTGTATTGCTGTGCGTTGCTTTGCGATACTTTGCATTGCTTTGCATTGCTTTGTATTGCTTTACATTGCTTTGCATTGCTTTGCATCGCATGGATTATATCACATGGATTGCACCACCTATATTGCACCGTATTCATTGTACCCTCTAAATTGCACCGCATAGATTGCAGAACATCGTTGTTTGGGGTCCACGCTGGCCAACATGCGGTTCTCATCGTTTTGCGCTGATTTTCGATTTGGGCGGCCCCAAGGCCTCCAAGACCGCCTAAGAGGCGCTCAAGAGAGTCCCAGGATGGTCCCTCGAGGCGATGAAGGGTTCCCGTGCCTTTTGAGTGATGCTTGCAAGGCCAGTGCGGGGTGTTGGAGTTTGTTATGGTCATTTGAGCAAAGCCCATTCGCCCGCGCATGAAACGAGTCTTGGGGCGCTCCACGAAATGCTGGAGGCACAGTAGCGGCGGGGGAGGAGGGGTAGTATGAGGGCAAGGGGGAGTGATGGGGGTGGGCAGGAGGAAAGGGCGGGGAGCGATGTGTGGGGGGAGGGGGAGCCATGGAGCCAGTGGCGGAGTCGGGGAGTGCTCCTGGGAGGTTCCCAGACTGTTGACAGAACCCACGCGCTCACAGCGAACCAGTCTCCCGCCCTCCCCCCCTCACTCTTTCTCTCTTTCCCTCCCTCTTTCCCTCTTTCCCTCCTCCTTTCCCGCTCCTCCCCCTCCCCCTCACTGGAGGAGCCCTCGCCGTTCCCCTCGCCACCAGGCGCAGGCCAACTGTGCCGCGCCTGCCTTGGGGCGTGCGTCTCCGGCGCGCGGACCACCGCGTTCAACGTCGCACCGCCTCCTCCTCCCCCTCCCCCTTTCCCCTGCCTCCCCCGCTCCCCCCCTTCCCCCCGCCTTCGGAGGAGGAGGAGGGAGGAGGAGGGAGGAGGAGGGAGGAGGGGGGAGGAGGAGGGAGGAGGAGGGAGGAGGAGGAGGAGGAGGAGGATGAGGAGTAGGAGGAGGAGGAGGAGTAGGAGGAGGCGGATGAGGAGGAGGATGAGGAGGAGGAGGAGGAGGAGGAGGAGGAGGAGGAGGAGGAGGAGGGAGGAGGAGGAGGAGGAGGAGGTCATCTACCCCCTTCCCCCTTCCCCGCCCCCTCCCTGCTGCGCCTGCCTCCTCCCGCGCGGGCGCCCCCCCCATCTCCTCTTGCTCCCCCCCCCTGCGCGGCCCTCCTGTTTGCCGGGCCTCCCCGCGCCGGCCCGCCCGGCAGGAGCGGCGCGACAAGGACAGGGACCGGGGCAGGAGTAGGGACCGGGCGCCCAAGAGGGCCGGCTCCCGGAGCCGGGAACGCAAGCGGTCGCGGACGAGGAGCCGCCGGCGCTGAAAAACAGTTGTGCTGGCGAAGGAACCATTCACCCTAATAGCTAGACATATATATATATATATATGAATATGTATGTATGTATACATATTCATATGTATATATGCACATGTTTAAGTCGGGCCTGTCTCTCTACAGGGGGAATTTTCAAAAATAGTAACAAATAGTCAGGGGACGATTTTTTGACTACGTTTGAGCATGTTTTGAGTAATTATTGAGATTTTTTTTTCGCCCAAAAACCGTCTCTAGGGGGACAGGCCCGACACACATATATATATATATATATATATGTATAGGTATCCAGATCCCAAAGCTTGTTCCGCCGCCCCTTACGCCCCCCACCCGCCACTGTCCTCTGCTAGAACATGGTGCTCAGCACACGCGGCCACAATCCCTTGCAAAAGACACCCCGCGGCGCCAGCCAGGCTCCCGCAGCTCCCGCGACCCCTCTCAACAATACAACCCCGTGGACGCCTGCGCGCGCTTCTGTCTGGGCGCTCCCGGGCGCCCCCCGAGCCCTCCCAAAGCGTGCCCGAGCGTCCCCGGGTGATCTCTGGCGCCCCAGGCGCTCCCCAGGCGCTCCCCAGGCGTTCCCGGGCGCTCCCGCGCTCCTGGGGAGGGTGCCCGAGACTCGCGCGCTCCCAGGCGCGCCACGGGCGCTCGCGGGCGCCGCCGGGCGCCTCCAGGCGTCCCCAGGCGCTCCCGGGCGCTGCCGAGGGCCTCGGATGGCGATGGGAGTTTGCGGGAGGGCTTCGCGAGGTCTTGGAAGACCAGCGATGCGGCCGGCACGCTCCGAGAGCATGCGAAGCACGTCCTGTGACCTCTGTGTGGTCTGGATGCTGGTTGCAGCCTGCACTGACTCGAGCGCCGCCGCCGCAGATGCGCCCGATGGCAGGCGGGCAGCAGGCAGTAATCATGGTTTCCCGTTCCCAGCAGGCGAGAGTTTACAAGACAGTTCAGCGCTGGTGGAGAAGCTTGATCGATGGACTCTTGGAAGATAGGATGCGCAGAAGGAGCAGAGGCAGGAGGACTGGGAGGAAGAGGAGGAAGCGGAGAAGGGGCACCAGGGGTGGGATAAAGATCCGGAGGAAGAGGACGATCATGATAACAGGGACAGTATCACAAGTAAGGGGCGATCACTACCAGTACGAGAAGGACCACCATCAGTAGGAGGAACATGTTCTGTTTGAACGCATACTTCGAAGCCGTTACTTAGGATCTCTTCGCAGCTCTGTCGGAGCAGAGGTCCTCTTTGGAGTCAGGTCTTTACGCCTTCATGAACTGATTGCGCGACTGAGCGGGTTGATGGCGGGAAGAGAGGTTCAGAGCAGCAGAGTAGCACAACATCAAATGGTTGGTGGGTGACTCCAATGGGTCCCAATGGGAGAATCGTGCGAGGGGCAGGGTCAGGTGCGGGGCAGGCCGAGGATGGCGCAGAGGAGGCGCAGGGGCAGGATCGAGCTCAGTTGCAGGAGCAGGCAGATGCATATGATAGTGATGGTGTCGGGCAGGACTATGAATGCTCTTCATGCGTCGCGTATCCCCTCGAACCGATCCAGAAACGCTGCCGATGAGAGCTGGTCATCTTGAGGCCCTCTTGGGGTCCCCTTGGGGCTCTCTCGGGGCCGCCTTGGGGCCCCCCTCCCTTGGGGCTCGTGGGGGGGGTCTCAGGTACCCCCTTTTGGACCCCTTCGGGGGGGCCTCTTGGGTGCCTTTTTTGGCAGGCCTGGAGGGCCTCTTGGGGCCATTTTGGAGGCCCAGGGGGGGGGCATCCCTTACCTATCTCCCCCCCTCCCCTCCTCCTCCTCCTCCTCCTCCTCCTCCTCCTCCTCCTCCTCCTCCTCCTCCTCCTATGAACTTATCAAAGCCCACGAAGTCTTTGACGACAATAGATATAACACTGATGATGAAAGAGAATATCATTCTCACATCGCGCTCGGTCTGACTCAAGGGCCCTGAAAAGGTTCGGGCCAAAGTGCAATGGTACACCCGCTATGCTACAACCTTGCTCTGCACTGTCTGCATATTGGAACATAGCATACACGCAAGATGTACAGCGTATATCTCACACCCGTGAAAAAGTGAAAAAACAATGAAACGGAGAGAAGCCTTCCTTCAATCTGGAAAATACCAAATCCAAATACACATACCTAAGAAGTCCAGATAAGCATTCCTAAGATGCAGTAACAATAAACATACTGAAAATCATAGTTATAATGTGTGAGAAAGTGTAACTAACTCCACGCTAAAGAAACAATGCCGATATGTCGCACTGCACATAGATGGATCTCCAAACCGAAATCCATGATCACAAAGGGATTTCCAAACGAAATCCACCATCGTAAAACTCTCGGGCGGCAGGCAATGAAAGCCGCAAAACAAAGAAAGCATAGTAGTGAATACCAACCTCACTTGTGAACTCGAAAACCTTCTGTCAACTCTGGCTCGGTCGTCACCTCGCCTGCTCTACGAAACCCTTGGGTCTGATGCTGAAACCTCCACACGTCTCCGCTGAGCTTGTATGTAGTCATGCTCTGCGTTCCCACCGTCCTGGCCGTGTACAGATCGTTCGACGAGCCGCCGCGTTCGTCGCTTGATGATGCTTTTGGTTCTCTCTCCTTCTCGATCTTCTCCTTTTCGATCTTCGCCCGTAGAACTGCCAACTCAGTCTTGTACTTGTACTCGGCCTCCTTGATCTTGATCAGGTAGGATGCAACTGGGTAGGCTCCACATAATCCAAGACATAAGAAAAACATGGCACACCAAACCAAAATACCATAGCCGTTGTCCTCGTTCTTCGTGTCGTACTCCGTGTGAGCCGCCGATCTGCAACAGCTGGTTGCGAATACTGCCAACTGCATGAACGGTGTAGTTGCCTTCCGCGTTGCCGCCGATGTCACCGGCGTTGTCTGGTCAATACTCTCCTGTCGCTCTTCCTTAGTCTTCTTCTTTGCCGCCGTGTAGTTCGGGTCATGCTTGAGCTGTAGCCTGCCATATCGTAGACGGTCGGCGAGGAGCTGTCTCGCCGCGATCTTTGTGAGCCCGTCCGCGTATTGCCTTTCTGAAGATACCCACCTCCAGCGTGTCATTGTAGCCTCTATCCTTTCACGTAGCGCTAGCACCTCGATGCCGGTCCGCTTGTCCTGGAAGCTGGTGATGCTCTCCTTTTGGGCCGCGTCGTAGAGCGCCTTTGCGTCCACGACCAATGCTGACTCACCCGCCATGTGGGTGCTTTCATCCTTCGTGATGTCCACGCCGTCGTAGATCAGGGCTGCCCAGAATCGCTTCGCAAATTCCAAGCTATCCATGCCCGCTGCTGCTGCCTGTGACTCCGCATGTAGAGAGGAACGTGCCATGCGTAGTAGCTTGAAGGACTTCCAGTCGATCACGCTAAAGTCGGACTCGTGTCCGTCGAATATCTTCTTGTGGCATGCCAAGATGACGTAGCCACCTTGATTGGACCCGTCCTGTCGAACTCCCCAGGCTGCGTCCGTCATTGCTACGAACACTATGTCGCTTACCTGGCCGATCTTCTTCATCTTGAGCCCGACGTCCGAGTTCTGCTTGTAGAACCGCAGTGTCTTGTTCGCCTCCTTGGCCGTGCCCACTGTCGCCGTAGGTAATTGCCCTTGGTGAATGCTAACCGAAGCCGAAAGATGAGGACAAGCTTGAGAGCTTGGCCACTGCAAAGCTCCGAGTAGACCTCGTAGCTGCCGCTTCTCCTTGATAGTGAGCTCCCTCGTGTTGTCGCTGCTCTTCTGGTCGATCGTGATGGGCTTCAGGTTCTTGGCGTAGGTCGCCATCTTCACTTCAACCTCGCTGCTGTTCGACTTCGGGTTTTCCCAGTGCGGGGTCTGCGTCAAGTCGCTGCCGCAGTAGTCCATCTTGTCGTCTTCGATCCACTTCCTGAACTTGAACCTTCGTTTTACCTCGGTGATAGCTCGACTATAGTTACTGCCCGGCCGCCGATCTCCACCTCCCAGCATGTCGTCCACATAAAGTAGAATGAACCCGTCATTATTGCCGTCCTCATCGAAACCGAGAAACGTGCAGGGGTCCAAAGGATGCTGCTTGAGACCACTGGCCTTTAAGTCGTCCACCGCGCGTAGCCACCAACGCCTCGGTGCGTCCACCTGGCCGTACATTGGCTTGATGAGCTTCATAAGAGTATTCGGCTCGATGCCCATGAGTTCTGCCGCGTCCTTGGGCACCTTCGCATACAACTCGCGCTCTTGGGGTCGTCCTTGAAGAAATGCAGTAGCTACATCTGCTGTCCATAGTCTCCAGCCGTTGTTGGCCGCCAGTAGTAGCGCCATCTGTCTTGCCAGTCTCGAGGCTGTAGGTGATGCCGTCGGTACCGCGCCACTGAGTGCGTCGGGGTCGTTGAAACCTTGTAGTACCAGCCGCGCCTTGGCACGTGGTGTGCCGTCGTCGTTCTTTGTCCACTTGAGCACCCACTTCGCCTTGAGTATCCGCCGAGGGTCCTCCTCCCCGGTGGGCTTGTGAAACTCCCAGACGTCATTGCCGAAGAACTCCGTCAGCTCCTTCCGCTTGCCCTGCATGAATGCCGCGCGCTCGTGGGGCGTCATGTTCCTCGTGCTGATGTCCACGAAGATGTCGCTGAGCTTTGCATCCGTGCCGTTGAACTCCCAGCCGAATGGCAAATCCTGACTGGTGACCATACGCTGTAGAGCTGCAAGTTCGTCGTCAGCATCGTCGAGGTCCGGTACTGGTACCGCGCTGCTCAGTCCAGGATCGGGTAGAGTGCCTCTGAAGACTCCGCCTCCAGGTCTGGTGAATATCGCCGTCTCCGCTTTGTCCATCCTGAGCCGCTCTTTCTGAAGATTTGACATAGGCCTCGACCGCGTCTGTGTCGATCCGAGCTCCTGCTCCGGTGATGGTGCTGCCACCGCTGATGACGATGAGGCTGCTGGCTGCGCTGTCTGCGTTGGCTGTGCTGTCGGTTGAGCTGCTGGCTTCTCTTGCTCTGGTGGGGGGGTTGTC